CAAATAAACAAATAAACAAATAAACAAATAAACAAATAAACAAATAAACAAATAAACAAATAAACAAATAAACAAATAAATCTCCATCTGTCTCTTCTACTTTTGGACACTACTCTAAATTTAGAATCCCAGACTCTCTGTGTGTATTCTTCCTTAGTCACTCTTCTGTGGGACAGAAGAGACAGACAATTGGTCTAACTTTAGAAGAAGGAAATGAGACTTCCTCTTTTGCTCCTTCTGCTGAAGGAAAGATCTGGTGGGGGCAAGACATGAATTAACTCCAGACATTTCTCCTGCTGCTATCAGCATGGCTGCCTTGAGGTCCTTCTCGGGAATCCCTGGTCCTCTTCAGCTGCTGTTCCTCCTCCTTCTGCGGGATCTGGGTGAGTGTTGGCATTTGAAATCAGGCAGGGTCCGTTCTCAGATTTATACCTGGAATAAAATTCAGTGCACGATGAATATGAAGGCTGCTTAAAACCTGCTGTGCTGCTCTGAACAGGGAGACAAGCCGATTTCCCAGCAAAGGTCAGTCCCAGATGCGGAATTTGGGGAGGAGGAGATTTCTCCCATTGCCTCCCAGCCCAAGTGGTAGGAAAACAAACGAGAAGAGCATCAGAGGTTCTGGAGATCAACTGGGGCCACCTGGTTTGATGCCGTCCTTGGAGCAAGGACTGTGGGAGTCATTCACCACCTGGAGTGAGCCGGCATCTTTTCTTCCTGGGATCCAGAGCTTTGGGGTTACCTGAGAAGGTGGGTTAAAACAGCCCCACCCCCTCCTTAATTGGAGAGTTTGTTGCGTTCACGAAATGCAAGTAATTCTGTTCTCCGAAGGGGCACCACCCATTCTTCTGTCTCAAGAACAGCAGTGACCACTTTCTAGAGAAAACCTAGTATAGAAGTGTCTCTTTTTGTTTCAGTTGTTGGAGGACAGAACGTGGAGATAACCCAATGTCCGGAATCCCTGTCAGTGACAGCCGGAGAGACCCCCACTCTAATGTGTACCCTGACTGGGGAGAATCTGCCAGGAGCAGTGCGGTGGTACAAAGGCCTGGACGGAAGGCAATCTCCCATTTACAGTGATAAAGAAAGAGCTTCGAACCGGGGGGTGAGGGTCGTCACGTCCGGAATCCCTGTCAGTGACAGCCGGAGAGACCCCCACTCTAATGTGTACCCTGACTGGGGAGAATCTGCCAGGAGCAGTGCGGTGGTACAAAGGCCTGGACGGAAGGCAATCTCCCATTTACAGTGATAAAGAAAGAGCTTCGAACCGGGGGGTGAGGGTCGTCCCAGGATCAAGCACAGACTTCAGCATCTCCATCCGAAACATCCTCCCTGAAGATGCTGGGACCTACTACTGCGTGAAGTTCAGGGCAGGCAACCCAGAGAGACAGCTGGCTTCGGGGAAAGGCACCGTGGTCTTTCTGATCGGTAGGTGGCACCCCAACTTGATTTCCAGGGATGGAGGGAGATCTACCCCAGTCAATCGAGAGAGACGTGGGGCTAAATCAGATGTCTGGGGCAAATTCCCTGCACAAATGAGTCTCTCTGACCAAAAGCAGTCTTGGAGACTCGGGTATGGTCTATGAGGGACTGTCAGTTGATGTCTCCCCCCTTCCTCTCTCAGCCAGGCCATCCCAGCCTTTGCTCCGTGGCCCCCCAGGCAGAATCAAGGCAGGGTCTCGGGCCTCTTTCAACTGCTCCTCAGAGGGATTCTCCCCCCGAGAGATCACAGTCACCTGGTTGAAGGATGGGAAGGAAATAGAGGGGGCCGAGACCAGGATTCTGGATTCTGGTGAACAGCAGAACATCTCGTACCGAGTGGAGAGCACGGTGGAAGTGCTGCTCGGGAAAGGAGACATAAGGTCGCAGCTGACCTGCCAGATCCACCACAGCTCCTTGGAGGCTCCCCTCCAGCAGGACTTTCCACTTTGTGATATCCTAACAGGTAGGTGAGCTCTGGGTCTCAGTGAAGGACGAGGCCACGGAGTCTGGATGTGGCCAAGGTCCCTGGATGACAGAGGAATGGCTCCAGCCAGGCCCCACTTCTAGCCCCCCCAGTCATGGAAGTCCACCTAGACCAGCCATTCTTTCTCAGCACAAGGGGCCTCACAGGACTGTTGTTGTGGGGAGCAGCCCTTTAGGAAGGCAGCCAGGATCTTTCCCCGGGCACTTGGGTCAAGTGCAGTAGACTTCCCAACTGGTGAGATATATTTTAATCCTGATTGTCACTGAATTGTTTTAGCTTCCTTTAGCAGTATATGTTATTTTTCATTTGTATTTTTGCTCAGTGATTTTGTGTGATACCCAGAGTCACATTATTTGAGTTGGGTGGCCAAATATGTGTAAGTGAAAGCCAAAATGGAGTTGTTTAGCAAGGATACCCCAAGCAAAAAAGGAAAGGTTGTCCAGAAGACCCGGACGTCCGATGGGACATTTTCCCTGAAGAGGTACCGGGAGGTGATGGCCACCAAAGACAGGAACTCCTCACTCTTCACTTGCAGGGTTCAACATAACTCCCAGCCTCTGGTCAATGCAACAGCAACATTGTTCATTGCGATGCAACCTGAAGGAAGGAAGTATGGACCTTCAGAACGTTTCTTCTGAGGGTTTGCTGACGCACACCTTGCAAGTTGTTCCTGTCTTTTTCAGATTTTTTTTTTTTACACGATGTGAAATTAGGCATCATTATTTCCCTCTTCTAAATAGTTCCCACTGTCTTTGTGATCCTTCCCACACTAAAAGCGGAGCTGATCTCGACTCCAGGGAATTTTTTTCTTTAGCATCAAACACGATCATATAAAATAAACGGGTCAACTAGTTCCTAACTTAAAACATCTGGCTCTACTCTTAATCAAGCCCTTCTTTATTAAAGTCCAGTATCTTAAAACTTTCAAGTACAGGAATACCTCAGTTCACGAATGCTTCTGTTCACGAACAGATCGGTTCGCGAACAGCAGCATTCGCAAACTTTTGCTCCCATTCACGAACTCCGCATCAGGTGACGAACACGACCCGCGGCCATCTTCCCTGCTCTGACACGTGGTCGTCGCTTCCTCTAGGCAAGATCAT